AGAGTTGCCCTGGTCTCAGACAGAGCATGTACTGAGTCCCAGGAGACATTGTCTAACTGTGCTGTAGGCCAATCCCTAAGGATGATCTTTACCAGAATACAGGGTGATTGCTGGACTTCCAGGTTCGTGGATGGAGCCCCAGGACTTCCCATTGAGAAGCAAATACCTCCATCTAAGTGCCCTGCCTCTCGAGAGAAGGGGGACGGAGCCCTCTCCCAGGTCTCATGGAGTGTCCTCTCTGAAGACCTTCTGGTTTCCTCCTCCTCCTCAGAAGACAGTGATGTGGAGTGAGCCTTCTCCTGGAAAGAAGATGCTGCCTCCCTGCGAGACTGCCCAGATCATGCAGGATTACAACAGGATAGACATTTCGGGAGGGAAAACAACCCAGTTGATGACAATGTTCCTCTCCAGAATGAACTGGGTGTATACTGTCAGGTTCACCTCCACAGAGCCACAACATTGGAAATTCCTCTCACATATTTCTACAAGTAGCCTGACCTCTGGGGGTTGGAGGGTCTCTGGACTCTGAAGTGTGCTGCCGAGAAGCACAAACTCAATTCATCAACTCGTTCCTCCCTATTCCTTACCATGGACCTGTAGTTGATTCTCTCAATAAGACCCAATGTTCATAACCATTTGCAGATGCCATATTGTGTGATGCTTTTAACTTTCAGCATTAAAATTGTTCTCGAAATTTTGCCTTTTGGGGTTTTGTTTTTCTTGCGGAGGACATGGGGATTTTCCTACGACATATGTTTCTTTAGCAATCCACAAACCCAAGTGGCATTAACCTACCTCATCAGCTGTGCCATACAGACACTCTGTCCACCCACACCCACACCCACTTTGTGATCTTTGTGGCATACAGAGTTATCTCATTCTGCAGTCTTCCCTTTCCACACTATCGATGTGGCACTGAAGGCCTTGACCTAACTTCCATCCAGGAATCCAGGTACACTCAATACATCACATGACACCTTGGGACCTCAAGCTTTAGGCTTCCTGGGGATTGTGCCAGGGGATTCCCCTTACCAAGAATTGCCTTCTCTCCCTAAAATGAGAATGTTTAACACTGCAGTCAAACAACAGGGTTGTGATCCCACATACTCACTCATACACACACACTCCAACACACATATACACACCCACAAGACACACACAGGGAGAAATTGGTAGGGAGAGAGAGAGGTAGGGGTGAAGAGAGAGACAGAGACAGAGACAGATATTTTTATGTTCTGTTAGCCCAGTATTAAACAATGGCCAGAGGACTGCCACAGTTTCAGGGATCCATTGGCTACTTCCTGAGTTCCAATAAAAGATTTCCTCCATGGTCAGGGAGTTTCCTGCCCATATACATCAACTTGAACTCCTATGAGAGCCATCATTGACAGAAGCACATTACAAACCCAGTCAGAGATTCCCTACTCTGACTTTAGCTGACGGCTCTTCATGTCAACACACACTCTAGTGCTTCGGTGCCTGTACGTTTCTGGAGCTTATGTGCTTGTGACACTCTCTCAACTAACTCAAAGTTCAACAGCTTGGATCTCCATACTGGCTAGTAGGATTCAGTGATTTCCCTGGTTACCCTATTGGGCTTGGTGAAGGCTATCTCCTGAAGGCTTTTCCCCCAAAGCACCATTGGCTAGGGTACCTATGTTCGGGAACACCCTGCTAAATTCTCCTGTCTGGTATCATTTCCTCAGTTTTCCCTGAGAGCTGTACATGCTTCATGCTCCTCCTGGGCTCTCACTTGAGTCCCTGGGCTGTAGATCAACTCTTTCTTCCACCCCCAGTTTTTCTCTTTTGCTTCTTGCTCCAGCTTCTCTACACTCTCTAGGATAAGAGTCCTCTGATGAGCTTATTTGCTATAATTTTAGTTTCTATTAACCACCTGTAGGACTTGTTTGCATGTTGTCCAAATCTGTAGGCTCCCTGTTCTCATAGGCTAGGTAGCTGGAGTCTACCATGATGGGCATGCCCTTCCTAATTCTAAGTCTGTCAAATGAGAACTATTGTACACCCCAGCAGTTGAGGCCAGGCTGTCTCCTCACACTACTGTCTACTGAATCTTGAGGGACAGGCACAGTGCTCCACAGCTCAAACCAGCCCCGGCAGAGTCCAAACTCAAGCACCCATTGGCCACATGAAAACTAAGCCTGTAACACACACCAAAGGAGCAATTGCTCTACCTTCTCTCTTTGTATTGTTTGAATGGAGGACTGCTGAAGGGATCAGGCTAATGCAGAGCTCAAAGTGAATCCAGTAACCTGGACAAGGATTGGATGATAACTGCTAACCTCTGTAGTCTCCGTATTCTAGTCCTTCTAAACATGCCTAATTAGTTGAAGTATATCTTCACCTGGATTCAACCACCATTAAGAAAAAAAGAGTCTCTCTGTATCCATGTGTCAATGACTTTCTCTCAGTCTTTCTTTTTCTCTTTCCCTGGGTCTATTTGTGTTTGCAAGAGTGTGTGTGTGTGTGTGTGTGTGTGTGTGTGTGTATGTGTGTGTCACAAAGAGAGACAGAGAGAGAGGGAGACAGAGAGACAGAGACAGAGACAGACAAGAGGAAGCAGCACAACAACAACAACAATAACAAAAACAACAACAACATAAGTGTTTTATTCTTCCATTAATGCCATACATGGAAAGGA